GCCCCCGCCTGTCCCACCTGGCCAGGTGCCGTCCGCCGCCCGTGCTTCCGCGCCCCACGCAGTTGCACCTCCCACACCCCGAGTCTTCGCAGCCACTGGGCCCGGAAAGATGCCCTAACATGAGATGCCTTTCCTCCACGAACTGCAAACTGTGTCACGTCTCCAAACGCTCCCCTTGGCGCTCTCCCGCACCCCCGCCGGCGCTCTTCTGCCACCAGCTCTTCCCGGGCTTCTCCGCGCGGCTCCGGGTCCGAGTCGGTCGCAGCCCGTGCGTCCGGCCGCAGAGGGACCCGCGGAGCCGGGAAAGGCGCGCACACGAGCTCGCAGAAGGGCCGGGGTCTGCGCTCCTGCCTGGCCCGAGGGGGACTGCATCCTGTGTGGTGGATGGACTGTATATTGCTGATTCCACTCTTCTCGCAGTTTAGACATCTCTGTTGAGATTTATTTTTTGTTTTTGGTTTGTTTGTTTGTTATTTTAAAAGGCACAAACTATAGATATTAGTTGAATGTTGAGGCTTTAACTTTTTGGGTGTCTTTCTACAACTGTGTTCTGTGACTCAATTGTATCGTGTTAATATCAGTACAGACCGTCTCCTCTTCGTGACTGTATCATGTTTTTCCTCTTGTAGTCTCTATGGCGTGTCTTTACGGAGTACTAAGGTTTTCACGGGTTCAATTCCTTTGTGTTTAGAGAGACCACAGTTCAGACAATGGTATATATTTTTGTTATCAGGTGCATGTCTGTCTGATTTCTTTTTTTTTTTTCTCTTTTCTTCTTGTTGGACCTTGTTTGTGAACATAAGCGTCATAAGTTATGTTTCAGATTTTCAAATTTATTTATATGTGTTATAATGAATGCTTCTATTTAAAAGGGAAATATTTCTACATGTGCATATAGTTTTCCAAGAGTGTACCATTAACTTGATTGTTGATAATAAAAACAAAAAGCAAGTCTAGCAATTGAACTCCTCTGAATTTTCCTCGATTTGCTTTGGTTTGTTTTTTAAATTTAATTTAAAAAATGATAAGGGAGAACAGAGGAAATTGCATAAAATAGAAGCCACAGTGGCTCTGGAAACCTAGGCTGGGTGTAGAGTCGAAATTCATGCAGCCAAATTCAGCTGGTATAAAATGTAGTGCTTGGGACAGCAGGCAGGATTCTTGTGGTTGTGCTAAGTGGTTTTGCAACGACGGAGCACAAAGGAATAGAAGAGCATTGATAAAAATGCTCAGATCAGTGCCTGGGCTGAAGCCCCCTGGATTCCGAGCATCAAAGACAGGATTTGAACACCCAGCTTTGAGAAGGACTCAACTGTGGATTCTGAGTGAAGGTGCCTTCAGGACCCATAGGTCCCCGTGGTCCAGCCTTCTTAAGCTTGAAGACGGCCCCAGACCCTGGGACACCAGAGGGTCTTTGCTTGGGCAGGTGAATCAGAAAGGCACTGGGTGGAGAGCAGCACTGTAACATGATTTTTTTGTTTTGTTTTGTTTGTTTGTTTGTTTGTTTGTTTTTAATCCTCAATGGAGGATATTTTTTCCATTGCTTTTCAGAGAGAGTAGACAGGAGAGAGAGAGAGGGAGAGAGAGAGAGAGAGAGACATCGATGTGAGAGAGACACAGAGATTGGTTGCCTCTCAAACCTGCAACCGAGGTATGTGCCCTTGGCCAGAATAGAATCTGGGTCCCTTCAGTCCAAGGGCCGAAGCTCTAATCACTGAGCCAAACCTGCTAGGGCTAACATGATGTGTTTTGAGAAATAACATCGACAACTGAAGTTAGTGAGCACTGGCATGTACCAAATAGTGCTTCCCATGCATCATCCCAGCTGCCCCTCAAAACAACCTCACGAAGCAGATACAATTCCCATCCTCATGTTCTTTTATACAGATGAGGAAGCTGAGGCGACAGGGAAGTTAACTTGTTCAAGAGCCCTGGGCGTGAGTGATGAGCATCTAAATATGGCTTGAACCCAGGAAATCTGATTCCAGAGCCTGCATATTAGCTGCACCAGTGGTTCCCAAAGTGTGGTCCTAGGACCAGCAGCATCGGCTGACGTGTGACCTTGTTAGGAGCAGGAATTCTTAGACCTTCTGCTAAACCTACAGAATCAGAAACTCTTAGAGTGGGGCCCAGCAATCTGTGTTTTAACAAGCCCTACAGAGGATATGAGAACCATTGAACTATACTATAAGAAACCCAGATGGGAAGGTTCCAGAACTGGTACTACGTTCAGAGAGAGTGGGCAGGAGAGAGAGAGGGAGAGAGAGGGTGTGAGTCGGGTGGTGGTGGTGAGGGGGCCTCTGGCAGTTTCCACCATCCCCTTTTGGAAGGAAGCAGGCACTGGCACGGCTCCAAGGTGAAATTCTGCCTCTATCTGGGACTGTTTGGCTGGGCCACCTTCTTCAGTAGAAGCCTGTGTGGATTCCAGGTAATTAACTTGGTGCCTCTGTGGTTGGGCCTTCTAAATAGATAAGTCAGTTCCCCTCATCTGACATCTGAGGGGAAGCCACATGCTGCCTCCTCTGGTCTGAGGATCAGCAGCTGATGCAGCTTGAATTTATCAGGACTTCTCACATTAAGCATCCAAATATGGTTTACAGCAGTTCATGAAGATTTCATCCAGAAATTTCAAACCTTTGGACCTAAATTTAATAGTTTTTCTAAAGGGCTTTAAAGTAGTCTTTTTAAAAAAATCTGTCTCGAATTGCCTCTCAATAAGCCCTCCAAGACAACATTCTATAAACAGTGGCATCAGTTGTGCTGGCCTAAGATGCCAGCAATCACAGACGCAGCAGACCCCTGGCTTTCATTGTAAATATAACTTAGAAAAGTCTGAGAGGGATGCAAAAAAAAAAAAAGGCAGGAATTTATTGATGAAAAGAGCATTCAAAGCCCAGGTAACCCAGTCCTGGGCTTTGGCTAGAGGAAAATGAGCCTCAGGCATTGGGGGCCACCAGGTAAACCTCTGATTGCTGATGGGCAGGCCAGCGGGACAGGCATTCTAGAGAAGGCAAGACCAGGAGAGAGAAAGAAAACAAAAGTAGAGAGAGGAAAAAGGAAGACAGAGGAAAAAGAGGAAAATCAAGTAGCCCAAGAAGCATGTTTGAAAACCCCAGTGAAGGCCCTAGAAATCCTTTGAGATGTGAACCAACTAGATGAGGGTCCCCAAACTCCCTTCCTCTGGCCTTGACCTGCTTTGAACAATTTCTCTCCAGGACAAGTGAACCTCTGGGGATTGGTGAGGAAAACATGCTCCCTACCCCCATCTATCCCTGCTTTCCAGAGGATGGCATTTAAAATGCCTGCAGGCACCCCACTTTAGCATTTCAGTATCATCTTTTTAATTTGGGTCACCTCTGCCTCTCTTACTGGTCAAAGAAGCAAAACTGTTCTTTGGGAGGCAAGTTCATGATCAAATGCAAACTAATGCCCCTGTAATATGATGAAGCCTAGTGGCAGGACACTGTGTCTCTCGGGTTGTGTCATTTCCTTGGAGTCCTGCACGGTGTGAACAAGCTCACTTTCACTTTTCCTCTCCTAGGGAATTTGCATTTTGGCTCATCAAGGCATCCCTTTTCCTGGCAACTCCGGGACCACATGTGACTTCACAAAAGCTGCAGGAGCTGATGCCAGATGGCCACGTCTAAGCCAAGTCTCCTTCAAGATGGCCAAGTTCAGGAGCCCGAGTGGTTTCAGAGGGGGAACTGATAACCCAACAAACAGTAGCTGTAACTCTCCCCGATGCTTCTCTTAGGAAGACAGCTAGATAGAGATGCCTCTCGATTCAGGGAGAGGACCTATGTGACCTTGGGTGGCAAATAACTTATCCCTCTTGATAAGCTTGATTCATCAACCATAAATATGAATAATAACACAGACTTGTGGGGTTGTTGGGGGCATTAAATAAGATACGCAATAAATATCTGACATAGCAGGAAGTTTTCAGCAAATGTCAGCTATTATTATTAATATTATTATTATATAACTTCTAGATTATCTCCCTTTCTCAAATCTCTGAAGATTAAAAAGAGCCCTCAGCTTTGGTTGGGTGGCTCAGTTGGTTGGAACATTGCCCCGTACGCCAAAAAAGTCTTGGGTTCGATTCCTGGTTAGGGCACATACTTAGGTGGTGGGTTTGATCCCTGTCAGGGTGCATATGGGAGGCAACCAATCTATGTTTCTCACATTGATGTTTCTCTCTTTCCCTTTCCTACTCTCTAAAATCAGCAAAACATATCCTCCAGTGAGGATTAAAAAAAAAAAAAAGCTCTCACTTGTCACTTAAGTCAATGGCCTAGGAACACAGAATGTGAGAAAATATTCAAAGGCTGGAACTGGAGAACCTTGCTGAGGGTGACAGTAACAGCCTAGAATCAGCCAAGCGCTCATAAGTAATGACTACTAAACTTATTGAGTGCTCATTAAGTGTTAGGTACTTTTACACTTACAAGCTTTAAAACATTTAATTCTTACAACTACCCTATGAGAAAAGCACTATTCCCATTTTTTAGGAGGAAACTGAGGCATAGAGAGGTTAAGTAACATGCCCAGAGCCACACAGCTAGTAGTGTTACAGCACAAATCCAACTCCCATTTGTCTCCAGAGCCCATGCTCTTTAACCCTGTTCTTTGGATTCTGCACGGATACATAGTGACCGAATGCCTTCACCCAACAGCGTATTCATGTCAGAGAGCAAAGTATAACGCAAAGACCTATGGCCTCCTTAGGCCAATAGCCAGGGTTATCCTAAAACAGTTTATGACCATGTTATCATCATCACAGTAGAATTTGGGATTGTGTTAGTCTTGGCTTAGCTCAGGAGTCCTTAATCTTGAGTTTACGGATATAATTCAAGGAAGGTAGGGAAAAATACATATATATTTTTACTAACCCCTACCTGAAATTTAGCACTTTCTTCAATGATAAATGTAGGCAACAAAGCCACGGTATTATCAGTACCTGTGACTTCGTCACCAATGGAAATCACAAATATTTCCTTTTTCAATTGCAGTTGATACTCAGTATTATATTAGTTTCAGGTGTACAGATCACAGATATTCTTATTTCACATTATAGTGTTTCAGCTATCTCAATATATCATTTATATTCACCATTAATTTGAAATTAGTAATTATCAGACCAACCACTAGATCTTGCTATTTAATACATGAATAGAGAAGCACATACATGACTACATTACAAATTTGTTTTAAAACATTTTTGACAACTCTATTTTAACTGACTTCTTTTACAATATTATGCATTTTATTTTTTGCATTTGAGAACATTATCTTGAGAGAGTTCATGGGCATCACCAGTGGCCAAGGGGTCTATGGCACAATGAAGACCTCCTGGCTAACTGATGAAAGCAGGGTGGTCCGTCTATCTGTGAAGCTCTGACTTTAAGAACCTCTCGTTGGGACCAGAGCCTGTCTTTATTTTATTCTACAGGTGGAAGAAATCTTAGAGAAGTTTTAAACCTGCCACATGTGCCTTCAAAGGACAAGGCAGAATAAAACAAGGTCCCAAAGCTGAACAAAGAAAGTTGCAGGATTTTAAAGACAGTGAGACCGCACGGGAGAGTGAGAGGTGATTCAAAGGTTTCACCAAGACTTGAATGGCCTCATACCATTTTCTGAGTATTTACACGAGCCAGGCGCTGTGCCGAGTGCACCATGGAGCAGCCCCCTGTGACAAAGGGGTGCTTTCCTTATTCCACATTATTGAAATCCAAGGCTATTTGGTCCCTTGTCCAGGTCACACCACTAATAACGGCCAAGCCAGGACTCAACCCAAAGCCCAGCTTCTTAACCAGTAGGTTTAAAAGGTTGGATAAAAAGAGAAAAAGAGGAAAAGAATTTTTCATTTGCCTGGCTGTCACTCATTTATATTTTGCCTTAACCTGCAGCTATTTGGTTTGTTCAAATACCCCAAGGCCAAGTGATTGAGCAATGATGTTACTCCAGCCATGTGTTCGATGTCAAAGACCTTCCTCTGGGGAAAATCAGACATCAAGGGGGAAATAAAGGCTTCTTACCTGGACATAATGTCATTAGGGAGCCAAGTGGATGACTGTTTGCTACTTGCTACCCAATGATTGAAGCGGTGATTTCCAGAACAGGAAGAGCCTGGGTGTAAAACTTAATTTCTGTAAGCTCCAGCGTCACTGGCCACCTCAGGGAAAAGTGGAATGAAATCCTGGTCTGTCTGTGGCGTAGGATATTGTGCTTTTGGAGTGTTCACTACGTGTAGATACTCTGCTAGCTGGTTTGCATGTGTTATGTGTTACATAGAGCCGGTCAACCCTCCTGAGGTAAATATTATTGTTGGTATTGCAGTGCTTGTGTTCAAGTCACCCTTATTTTACCTAACAATGGTCCCAAAGTGCAAGTAGTGATGTTGGCAATTTGGATATATCAAAGAGAAGTCATAAAGTGCTTTCTTTAAGTGAAAAGGTATGTATGTACAGGAAAAACATAGCCTCTGTTGGGTTCAGTACTATCTGAGGTTTCAGGCATCCACTGGGGGGTCTTGGAATGTATCCCCCATGGATAAAGGGGTGCTACTGTACTTGGGGGAGAACCATATCTTGATGATAGTCCAGTTGTTACTGTCTCTTTGGTGGAACATCATCCAGCACTGTTAGTTTTAGGATTGTTTGGGAGTAGTTTCTGTGTCATTCACACCTACTTGTAGAAAAGGAGGTTTGTAAAAAGTAATAGAAACATGTCTGAATAATTCAGTGATTTAAAAGTTTTAAAAAATTGCATAGGGTGTACATGCACAGGGTAAAAATTCAAATGATTTAAAAGGTTACTCAGTGAAAAGTATATCTGCCTCCTACCTCTGTCCCCCACAGTAGCTCCTTTTGTATCTTTAAGATAATATATATAAGAGCACAAAAGCCATTATTTTATATTCAATTTCTATACTTTGTATTAAAAAATTTCAGTTACAGTTTACATT